AAGGAGAAATAAGAAGCTGATTAGCCGTCAGGGGTTATAGCGATTCCCAGCGTCGGTTTCCCTTGGCACCGGACTGAGCCCCATTGTGTCACCTTATGTTTATTTTGTTGATTTTAGGGAACAGACTCCACTGAGCATGCGGCGTATATTTTTATATTCTGATATCACGGCCATACCTATCCAGAGCCCAGGCAGGGTCCTTCTGTCATGGCAGGTCCACCTGCAACAACACAGTATAGAGCCGGGGAAGGCAAACTCAGGCCCTCCAGCTGTGGTGACACTACAAATCCCATTATGCATCTGGGAGTCATGCCTGTGGCTGTCAGAGTCTTGCAATGCCTCATGGGACTTGTAGTTGCACCACAGCGGGGGAGCCGAAGTTTGCCCGACCCTGGTATAGAGCAAAATGTATTATATGTTTAGAATATAATTCTGGTGTAAAGATGGCTGTTGGATCACCATAGAGAGTGAAAAGTGATTAAAGTGAAGAATACCCCCCTCCCGACACCATGCAAAGAATAAACACACAACCTGACACCCTACCAAACATCTACCCCCCTCAGCTGCGAATGCCTATTGGCTGCATAGGCAGAGCTGAAGATTTTGAATAAGCGTGCTGGAATCTGGATGTTATAACACATTATGGCCACTAGATGGAGCTGAGGAGTCATGTAATACCACATTATGGCCACTAGGTGGAGCTGAGGAGGAATGTAATACCACATTATGGCCACTAGATGGAGCTAAAGTGCAATGTAATATCACATTATGGCCACTAGATGGAGCTGAGTAATGTAATACCACATTATGGCCACTAGATGGAGCTGAGGGGCAATGTAATGTCACATTATGGCCACTAGATGGAGCTGAGGAGTAATGTAATACTTCATTATGGCCACTTGATGGAGCTGATGAGTAATGTAATACTTCATTATGGCCACTAGATGGAGCTGATAAGTAATGTAATACTTCATTATGGCCACTAGATGGAGCTAAAGTGCAATGTAATATCACATTATATCCACTAGATGGAGCTGAGTAATGTAATACCACATTATGGCCACTAGATGGAGCTAAAGTGCAATGTAATATCACACTATGGCCACTAGATGGAGCTGTTGAGTCATGTAATACTTCATTATGGCCACTAGATGGAGCTGATGAGTAATGTAATACTTAATTATGGCCACTAGATGGAGCTGAGTAATGTAATACTTCATTATGGCCACTAGATGGAGCTGAGGAGTAATGTAATACTTCATTATGGCCACTAGATGGTGCTGATGAGTAATGCAATACCACATTATGGCCACTAGATGGAGCTGAGGAGTAATGTAATACTTCATTATGGCCACTAGATGGAGCTGATGAGTAATGTAATACTTCATTATGGCCACTAGATGGAGCTGATGAGTAATGTAATACCACATTATGGCCACTAGATGGAGCTGAGGGGCAATGTAATATCACATTATGGCCACTAGATGGAGCTGAGGA